GTTGGGGTGTTAATTTGCTGTAGGGCAAGGGTGAGAAGGCATGGGCTCTGGTGACAGGGCTGCAAGCTATCAAAGCCGGTATTGCAGTCAGAGCCCCTGAATGGTTGAACTGCAGCTGAGGACAGTAAAAGGGACTGAATGCTGCAACTGCAGCTGAGTTTTATGCTTTGAATATAAAGTGCTACAGCATGCTAGAAACTGTGACAATCCAAGATGTTGTCATTCTATAATATTTCAGGTACACAGAATCTTTTGACCCTGCGCTTTCAGCAGCCTCTCATCTACAAAATACCTAATATCCACTGCAGTGCTGTGAAAACAAATTTATTGTTTCTGAAGTAGTTAAATATGATATCTTGCTGAATGCCATGAACTCAAAAGGGATTTTAGTCATTCTGCTCTCGAGTATGGTTTAAATCCTGTGTACTAGAGAAGATATAGGTCCATCCACTGAGCAGAAGGATAAAGCTAAGTATGATTTTTTTTTTTAAATTTTTTTTTTTTTTTTTGAATTGCAGAAATTCTGTGGCAGGAATCCTGTGAAAGAAATTATCTGCATTGCAGGGCTCAGGGAAGTGAAATTAAAACTTCAGTGACAACCTTTGTAAGGGCACTTCCTGAAGATACTTCTTGGCTTTGCAACTGTAATAGCACTTGAGCTTAGTTTTTGTGCTCAAACTATACATTTACAGTCTTCTTTTGTAGCCTACTAGTCCCTGATGACCTAAAACTTTCTCAACAGATAACATTTTTTGTTTTAAGTAATAGCCACAAGCTCAATTAAACCAGAGAAAATCTTTTATATAGAAAGCTTAATTTGGATTAAGTGATTTAATTGATTTGGCTTCCTTTGATTTGTTTGTACAGGAAAAAAAAAAAAAAAGAAATAATGTGAACATCTCTCATCAACTTTATATTCCATAGACCCTTCTAGATGGACTTACTAGCACATCCATGAAGAGACAGTAGGTATGTGTGGGAGTTGGAGTATGTCTGCAATGGTGGCTGATAACCTGTTGTCAGATTTTTTTCAGAAGATAAGTTCAGCAACCCTTCTGATGTGGCAGCCTTTTAGCACAGGAAATTTAAAAATATTTTTGATTGGAAAATAAAAAGAATGTCATAAAATCAATATTTTAAAAATTTTCTTTTCGTTGCCTTCTCTTAGGTTTCTGCTCCTTGTTTACAACTTGGAAGAAAAGGACCAGATTCTTTCACCCCATGAAAGATTTAACACTGTTAAAGCAGCAGTTTAGGATTTTTCTTCAGTAATAACCAGCAAACAAAGCTAAATCCTTTTGCAAAATAACAAATTTAATCAGACAGGTAGCTTTGCACCAGCTTCCGCCAAACTATTGCCCAGTGCAGAGGCATGGGAACCTAGGGGGCCACAGCTGGTCTCCAGGAAATAAAGGTTCCAGCCTTTTGGGAACATGCATCAAAGTGTGTGACTGTCCCACTGGTACTCAATGTTGGGAAACTATTACAGGAATGCACAGTTCAACAAGTCTCTACACACAAGCATCTGTTTTTTTTTCCCTTGAGATAAGATTTTGTGTTATGAATTCTCAGGGCTTCCCCTGTTTTGCTGGGCAGAGGAATCCTGGCTCAACCCCGCAAATGATGAAAGGGGCCCATAATATGGGACACAGACAGGCCTTATTGCCTGAGGTACCCACAAGCCACCTGGCAGTACATTACTTACACATTAAGCCTATAGCCATGATATCATTGCCCTTGTTCTGGGCTCCAGCAATGTTATAGTCAAAAAGAGTGAGAACACAAAGCATTGTTCCTCTCAGCTGCTAAGACCATACTGACTTTGTGAGTCACACTCAGCATGTAGGAGTGATACATCCCATCATTAATGTTACCAATTCCCAGGTTTGACAAGGGAATATTGCCTACTCTAAGAAAACAGGGAAGGACTGTAAAAGCATTGGAACTAGTCACAAACTCATTAGCATCTCTTAGCCTTTCTGAGTTTATTCATCTGCAGCAGACATAAGAGTAAGATGTTAACTTACTATAAACAGAGGATTTTCCTGAGGCTTATATAGGACAACTATTATTTTTTGGTCAATCCCAGTGAGATGGTCTGGCTGACCACAAGACACAAAGAACTAGCTTGGACACTGTGTTTTCCTTTATTTTTTGTTGGCCTGCCATCAAGGAGGCCCAGAGGGATGGAGAGCTAGAAGGCCAGGACTGCTTTGCTGGCCTCAGTCAGAGAGAAAAGGAGCTGAAAAAGTCTGGAGTCAGGCCTAAGACCTATACATTCTGCTACTTGTACACATACATGCTAACACATGTCGGAGGATTTGTGTAAGAAAACAACTATAATCTCTTCATAAAAAAATGAGGACAATATTGTTGGAGGACGGCTTGCAGAGAGCAAGGCCATAGCTCCCTGCAGGAGCTGGTCGGCCATAGCTCCCTGCAGAAGTCAGTCCCAGCCACCTGAGGTAAACAGAGGAAAAAACCCAGCGTACATTGATGATAACAAGGACTGTTGTGAGAACAAAGGGATAAGTTGGGGGTGCATTATGACCTTGGGGGTGAGAGCAAAACAGCCCTGGGAGGAAATGTTTATGAATACCAGAGATGCCACAAGGGGCTGGGATATTATAATGTGACCTTTTAGATGTACCCAATGGCTGAGATATTATAATGTAGTTTCTTAAATGTATCCAATAGAGTTGCAAGTAGTGTATTGTAGAGCGCTTATATAAAGTGTGATTTCTTTCAATAAAGTGGAAGCTTGCTCTATCATTCACATTGAATCGGCTGCTTGCTTCCTCCGCCCGCCGCACAATATGACTTTCAGTAATTGTGAAAAGCTGGGATTAGTTGTGCCCATAGTAGATGACCACCCTTAGCTTCATGTAATATTTTGGAGTTTTGGGAAGTAAAGATACAGCAATCTAGAGGGCCAGGAAAGTCTGTTTAAGAATTTGTCTTTGAGCAACAAAAAAGGCCAGGATCCACTGAGGATTAGGAGTGGCTAGCAGGAACTGCAGGTGATGGGGGATGCTTAGCTGGAGCCACTAAGAGGAGCTGCTAGCAGAGTTACAAGAAGCAGAAAGCCAGAGGGACTAGTCAAGGATTCCCACCCCAGCTCAGCTTCAGCTCTGAAGAAGCCTTTGCTACCCAGCAGGTGAGTTATGGTACCCCGAAACTATCAACTGTGAGTGGAGTGTTTCTGGAATGGGGGGAAGCAATGGTCTGCCATAGCAGTTGCATCAGCAAGCAGTGAGAGGGGACTCCAGCAAGTATCTCTGGGAGAGTTGGTGGATGCCTGTTATTTTATGTTTCTTTGTCCTTTTCTTCTTTATCTCCAAAACAGCACTGTTCTTGCTAAGCCATTTATGATTTGTAGGAAGGAAGTAGTGCTCTCTGAATATGCAGTTAATTTTTCTGAGGTTGGGTGTAGGAACACAAAATTCTGTTTATTAGTGACCCCTAGAAATTGAACTGCCCTTGCAGCTGTCAATCAGTCTGGCAGAAAGGGTACATTTATTGCTTCCTCCATTTTTCATCTTTCCCCTCTCATATACTTGAGGCAGGAGTGAGGAAACTGGCTTATTGCTTGTGTTTGAGTTCTCTGCAGACTTGGAGAGTCTCTAAAGACTTTTCCTAAAGTCTGCCTGAGGAGCCATTGGGATCTTGGTATCACAAAACTGAGGTTTCAGTTTATACATAGGAAAAAGGGCCTATACATAAAGGGCCTGACAGCCTAGCTGTTTTTTTACAAACTCTTGACCTCATCTGACATACTCACCATGTGTTGTTGCAGTATAAGTTATGTAGGAACCAGATTACAAAATAACTAATTTGAGTGGTAGCACAAGTCTATAAACACAACAGCCTGGACTTCAGGATAAGTCAAATATGCCCAGGCAAGGTCCTGGGTAAATATCCAACAAGTGAAGCACATGCCAGCACCGATGCACTACACTTTGGTACCTGTGCTAGTTAGAGGAGTGCTAGGTAGGTGTACCCCCACACTGTCATGTCTCTGAAGGATGGTGTCAAGGTGTTCTGAGTTTCACCTGAGAGGACTAGGAGAAGAAAGAAGTGGCTTTGGTTATGTCCTCACTATAAGCAGGGCCAGAGGTACACTGTGATCATACCATCAGCATTGCCCAGAGCCATTGGAAAGGCTTTTTACAGCCAGCTCACAGCCATCTGTGGAAGAGCTTCTGTTTTGATGGCCACTTGGGAGACTGCGCTTTCAGAGCAGTATAAACAGTATAAGTAGTATGAAAATATTTGTTAATTTGCAGTCTTTGGAGTCTAAGACTGCTTTTAACTCTTATGGTAGTGAGAGCAGCCTGGAATGATTTCTAACATACCGGAGTGCTCTCAAGCCTGAGAGACTCAGTAGTAGTCAGGGCCGGAAGAAGCCAGCTGAATCATGGAGAAGAGAATGCAGCTACAGGCTGGCCTGAGGCTGCCCATATAGCCCTGCAGGAGTCCGCTGCAGGGAAAGGATTACTTGGGGAGATAGATCCAGATCATACAATACTTGTTCACTAGAACAGGACTGAGGCTGTTGCTAATCTAAGAACCGCAAGTCCTGTTGTGGCTCTGTGAAAGATGTCTCTCTCTATTCTGCCATCATCCCCCATTGTATTTTGTTCTGGTTCAACTGGGATAGGGTTGTTTCCCCAGCAATGGGGAGAGGGCGTTAGCCAGGTTATTCATACCATGCTGACGTCAGGTCCATGCGCCAAGCACGGGAACAGTTTCCTGTGTGGCTTTTGTCTGGGGAAGCACGCGCGGCAGGCTGGCTGTGTCCCTCGCGGTATATCTCTGTATGTCTTTTGTCTTGTTTACTGTTACTACTTTACCACTGTTTATTGTTGTTGTTATTGCTAATGTTGTTGTTCAGTTGATTATTTGTTACACTGTTGTATTAAGCCTTTCCTTATTTCAACCCTGGAGTTTGTGCCTCACTTCCAGCCCTGCCCTGTCTGAGGGTGGGGGAGGGACAACGGCAACATGGTCTCTGGTCCCAGCAGGGCTAAAATCACCACATATTTGTACATGGACCTTAGTGCTGTCTGCTCCCATGGAAGCTGACCCATGTGTTGCTTGAGGCACTCCATTCTGTCTATAAAGAATTCCCTTGCCAGGGCAAGAATTCTCCCTGGTATAAAAATTGCCCAAGCTGCGCCCTTTGCATAGTAAATGGTATGTTGGCACCATGGAAGGGACAAGCCAAATACACTCCAAGAGTTTCAGATTCCTTGCAGAGACTGGGCCAACAACATGAGATTTTGAGCTGTGGTGGTACTGGTGCTCCAGCCAAGGCTGACCAGGTTCCAGGGTAAGCAGACAGCAATACTATCCCTGATGCTACCCTGCCCTGCCTTACCCTGGTAAAGACCTGGATGCAGTGCTGTATCCAGCCCACTCTTTCACTCCTACTTTATTCACATGGACTTGATCTGTTCCTATGCTCCTCTATCCCTGCTGGAGGAAAGTGTTTCCTAAAGTCTAGCCCAAACCATCTTTGCTATTACGTGCCCTTTCACCTTAGTGCTCTTCTTGGATCTCCTTAAATGAGATTATAAGCTGTCTAACCTACTGCAACTTTAACTATCTGAATAGGCTCTTCAGAATGGTGTGTTCTCCTTATTTTACACAAAGAGGAAGGCTCCATGCATAAGATGCTACAGAGCCTTTGACCCCACCCAGAGTCTTGTTTATCAGTGACACAAAATGCTACAGAGCCTTTGACCCCACCCAGAGTCTTGTTTGTTTATCAGTGACACACACCCTGCTCTGCTATTACTTAATAAGAAGTGAAGTCAATGCTTTCCTCCCCTTCAAACTGTTCCACCCTCAATCAGGAGGTCAGCTTCTCCACCCTTTGGCAAAACAGCTGTTTGGGGGTGGAGGTGAGTTTAGGCATGGTGTTGCCCAGCCTCTCATCTGGGGTGGGGGGGAAGAAAGTCCTTTCCTGTCAAATGGCTGCTTTAGAGCTGGGAACAGCCCTGACAGGCTTCCGCCCTTCAGTGCTTGTGTGTATTTCATGTGAGCACAAGTGAGTAAGATCATTCATGACAGTCTGTGGGTCTAGTTTAGGATGCAAGGAAGAGTGAGAGCACAGCACACTACTCAGCTGTTTTTTATCTGCTTTTTTCCTCATGATGGAGGGAAGATTTCACTGAAAGTCACCCTCCTACTTCTGCAGGTAGGAAGAGGCAAAGAAGTCAGTGTGTGTAACTGATGTGATGTGGGACTAGGTTCTCTGCTCGGCTCAGACTTTCCTCACAAGTGGTGAGAAGGAAGAGAGTCCCTAGGAGCTGGCTGCAGCTGTATCATTTTGCCTTACTGCTATCAGTGTGAGTGTAAGTAGCCCAGAAGCTGCCCTAAATATATATCAGCATCTGATAGTCCAGGGACCATCTGCCAACTAAATTTGGCTGGAACACAATGTGGTGCAGCCACTCTTCCTTCCCACCCTTGACATGTCCTTCCACATGCTAGTGGCTATTCTGGCTGTCTGCTCGCTGGAGACTTTACTGCTTTGGAGACACCACAAGAAAGGGAAAGGATGCCTGGATTTCATTCTCCATCCTTGGAGGAAAGACAATTGGGACCACAACTTCATGAGGAAGGCTTTAGGAGAATGCATTCACTTCAAGAGGTGTTAACATCCCTCCAGAACCTCTGCGTGTAAAAGGGGAAATCTGCAAATGTTCAGAAAAGAAATTGTACAAAAAAATGTACAGGAAACTTGCTACAATAGGGGAGCCAAACTTTTCAACTGGTTCATGCAAAGGGTGACAACTGGTAGGCACCACTCCCATAAAAATGTCAAAGAGATGCTGAGGGACAGAGTGTAAAAACACGAGGTCTGGCAAGTGAGGAGGCAGCTGGTAGGTCCTGTGGCCAGGGTAGCCAGCTGTCCTGGGCCTGAAGGACTGTACCTTCACCTGACTTAGAGCAAATGTAGTTTTCTTCCAGCTTTGTTGGGACCAGATGAGGAGCTCTGCATATGTAGCAACCTTTCTGCTATCTCCTGCTCTAGCCACTCTGTACCAGTTTGTGGCTTCTGTTCCACTACACTATGGCAATTTATACACCAGTCTCTGTTTTCCCTGCTTCTCAGCCATTTCCTGGCTGAAGCAGCCATTAGATTTGCTGTGATAACTCAGATGCTTTATGATTATTCATACCAAAATAACCAACTCAACAAGAAAGCAGTAAACAGAAAAACTAGGAGTCCCACTATTTTTTTTTTTATTTGATTATATGGAGGTAGCAGCCCACTCACATACTATCATCCCCGTTGTGTCAGGTGCTACACAAAAATGGAACTAAAAGTCTGTCTCCCACAGGGACAATGATTTTCATAGTAGATGAGACAGACAGAGTGCAAACAAGTAATGACCTAATACTAGTTAATGTCAACAGTCTAGGACTTCAACTTTGCCATTGTTACAGAGCTCACATTCCTGGGTCAGAGAAACCATATTTTTGGGAACACTCAGTGGAAATGTTTTTGGGACTGTACCAAAGTCCTCCCAGGATTCCAGTTTTCTTAGTCTCAGCCTCAAAGGAATTTACATCTGGCTTTGGCAGAGCTGGAAGTCCCCACAGGAAGGATTTTGTTGATATTCAGTCTTTGTAGGACAGTGAGATTCTCTGTGAAGGGAAACACATATATCTGGCCATGTCCATGGCACCACACCCACTACTCCTCCAAAGTGGATAGTTTCAAGAAGTTTCACAGAACTGGGTCCATCTGCCCAGGGAGTATTAGGAAAACCTGTAGATGAGGTGTGTGTGTGTGTGTGTGTGTGTGTGTGTTTCCCCCCACTCACTCCTTCAGTTTGGACAGGACTTATCTCTCTCTCAGAGCAAAACAAGCTGCCAACACTACTTTTAAAAAAGAAGGGGATCTTCAGCAATCAGCAGAGCTTCCAAGAATCTGTGGGAAGACAACATGACAGCATGAGATGGTCCCTGTGCCCTGCACTCTGCTCTCACTGCTCCAATTCTCCCTACTGCAGGCAACTTGTCTATGACTCTGCTAACAGTGACGCTGACTACAGTGTCCTGGCTGGGTCTCTGTAGAGTGGAAAATAGCTCCTTGTGCAGCATAGCCTCACCTGGGAAATACCTGCAGGCACAAAGAAGAAAGATATGCAGCTCAGTAGATCTGTTTTATATGCAGACTGACTGCTTCCTGCCAGTCAGAACAAAGTGCTACAAGCAGTTTTGTCAAAGTTATCCTAGTGGTCCAACATAAAACCAGGGCTGTCTGCCCAATTAATAACATAAATCTGGCCTCTGTCTGCTCAAGGAGTAGTGCTCTCCTCTCCTTGAGGGACATAATAACTACTGTTTTCTCATTAACAGCTTCCCAGGATTCCTTACCCAAAGCCTTCTTAAATCTATCAACTGAAAATAAGCTTACTGATCTGATTCCCAGGCTCTGGACTTAGTTTTCTTAGAGAGCAGAGCCAGCATCTCTTCCAGATCCCTTAAGGGTCCATATGCCCTTCTACTGTCCCCAGTCCCACACAGGCATCTCTATGAGCATATACTTTTGCCCTGCAGAGCATCCTCTACAGATTTGTATGTAGAGACGAGGGGAGATGAGGATAGGGAATCCACCAGAAATTTAGGGGAAGAAAAAGTGCTTCCTGTTGCTCACATTTCTGAGAAAATTTGGTTGAAATAGGAGGAGTCATCCTAAACTTTTTACTTTCCTTTTGTACCCTCTGAACATCAGATTCATCAGACTGTAAAGCAAATTTTGTGGAAGATAAAACATTGACATCAAATCATCACAGGAGCATAAAGCAGGTAAGAGTCAGGCTTCTATGAATATGGTACCTACACTGTGAATGCCACATGCTGCAAGCTCCTTCACTTCTGGCATCACAGCTTCATTGCCACTCTAATATGTACTCCCTGCCCTTTGGCAGGGACTCACTTTGCCTGTTGTATATCAGCACAGTGTCTAGAACAATGTGGGTTTGGTTTTCCTACAGAAGAGCAGTGTCAATAAATAATGCAAGCATGTCAGTCATAGTCTACATAGGAAAGGCAGTGTCCATGGGATGATAACATCTTTGGTGATTACCATAAAATTTTCAAGAATAAGTCATTACCTTCACATACTTTAGAAACACCCCATGAACTCGGTATGCTAAGAACTTCTAGCATGAATGTATCTCACTTATTTGGAAAAAAGCAAATAATGCTTCCAGTTTCCTGATCCCACTTAATTGTTGATATTTGACCTGCAGATTAGAGGTTTTCACGTCATCTGTCAGCCCACAGAGAGTATCTCAAGGTTCACTGTGTGTGAAAGATAGGAAAGGGACATTAGGAACAGGCCAACCACAAATAGCTAAAATTAGCTCTGAGAACTGGAGTGCTGAGGTCTCTGAGGAACACTAGTCAAAGAAAATGGTTGCTTGCTAAACTCCCACTTATTCTACTGCCTCTGAGGACTCCTGGCTCACATCTCTGCCCAGACATCCTACATGGCTATTTAAGAGGATTCCCCCACCCCTTCCTCCTACACTGGCCATCATTTTCCTCTTCTGTAACTGCAGTACAGAGTGATATGGGATTCGTGCTCCAACGGCAAGTTGCTGACTGGAAACAGGAAACGGGGAGGCTATGCAGAGTGCAACCTCTGTGACAACATGAATGTCACACCCATGTGCAGACAGGGATACTTCTCACACATGGCAATGATCAGCAGTTCCCCATTTTTCTCCTCTTCCCTCTTCTTCAGAAGGGCTTACAAAGCCCTAGAGGGGCCT